TCTTTCCTCTTCCCCTCTTTCTCCTTCCTCTCCTCTTCCCTGTTTCTCTTTCCTCTTCCCCTCTTTTTTTTCGTTTCGATTTCTTTGATTGGCAACTCAAGAATATTTGAAGAGTTTCAATGAAAATCAAGGTTTTCATGTCAAATTTGACCATGAAAACTCTAGATCTAGAGTTTTCATGGTCGAATTTGACCTTATAAACCCAATTTCGGCGTTTTTTTTTTTGTCAAATTAAGGTATGTTTCTCTTTTTTTTTCTTCTTAATTTTGATTTTAATTAAGTTGTTGATTTTTCTGATTTTTTGGAAATATATGTTGTTAGTGAATTATGGATTTTTTTTTATGTTTATTTTTGGTGTTTTCGGTGGTTGTTTTGGGTGGTAAGGTGGGTTTCGGTGGTGGTGAGGTGGGTTTTGGTGGAGGTGAGGTGGGTTTTGGTGGTTAGGTGGGTTGCAATTTGGTTGTGTACGGTAGTGGGTTTAGGTGTGGGTTGGTGGTGGTGTACGGTGGTGGGCTGGTGGGTTTGGGTGGGTGGTTTCGGCGGTGTTGCGTGGTTAGGGCTGGTAGGGGTGGTGCGTGAGGGTGGTTAGGGGGCAGGGGCAGGGGGCAGGGGCTGGTAGGGGTGGTGCGTGAGGGTGGTAGGGGTGGTGCGTGAGGGTGGTTAGGGGACAGGGGGCATGGGTGGGGTGGGGCTGCTCTGTTTTTTTTTTTGTTTTTTTATTAACTTTTCCGACGGAAAATTCCGTCGGAATACACCTCTTCCGACGGAAAATTCCGTCGGAATACACCTCTTCCGACGGAAAATTCCGTCGGACACCTACCCACCTCCGACGAAAAAATCCGTCGGAAATTTGTGACGGAATTTCAAATAAAGTCAAAAACAGCGCCGACAGAATTAGATCCGTCGGACACCAACCCACCTCCGACGGAAAAATCCGTCGGAAATTTGGGACGGAATTTCAAATAAAGTCAAAAACAGCGCCGACGGAATTAGATCCGTCGGAAAATCCTTCGAAATAACGCCTTCCGACGGAATTTCCGCCGGAAAAGGTCGAATTTCCGACAAAGGCTGTTACGACAGACTAACTCCGACGGAAAGCCTGATTCCGACAGAATTTCCTAAAATTCCGTCGGAATCCAACTGTTTTCTCGTAGTGTTGAAACACATGCACCCACAGCCGGCTTCAATGGTGTAACACATGCGCCACCTATCCGGACAGCTCATGGCTTAGCTAGCATACATACAGCCAGCTTAGCATCTTGGCCGGATGCCTGGTGCTTTTCTCATGCTGGCTGCATACGCAATAGCATACTCACTTTGGGATAGTTCCGCTGACCCTATTGATAACAACAGCGTAAGAACCGTGATGCTCATGCATGATAATGCCGGGTGTGTTTGCGGAGTTAAGGGTCTTGTTTTTGCCGCTTATGCTAACCTTTAAACTCAACAGAAAGCTCCCTCTATAATGTCTCTAGAGCCCCTCTCGGCAAGGATAGTGCCGAGTGAGTCCATTGATTCAACCAAGGTATTTGACCGGCTGCATGCTTTCAAATCAAGTGCGCTTGTGCCCTATGCTTACAATAGACGCCCAAGGATACCAGGAAGCCCCTGCTCACGCATGATAGCTGCTTGTACGTAGCCGGGCTTCAGTACTTGAGTTAATGTCAACGCCTATAAAAACTAAGTGCTGGCCCCATATTCATAGGATTGAGCTCTTCAATGGCAACCCGGTATTAATGAGGACCGTATAAAACTTGCTACATTAGAGACGGCACGGCTCCATGGTTGCCAATTAAGCTCGAGTAATGAGACGTAAGAGCTCATGCCGCCTGTAGTACTTGACATTTGGCCTCACGACGCCTGATGTGCTTGACAGTTGGCCTCATGACACCTGTAGTACTTGGCCGTCTACCGCTTTCGCACCAGAAGGTTATTTCATTGGAGATCGTAGAAGGTTGTTCCCCAAATTTCGGCAGACGGAGCTGCCAGTCCAAATGTTGGACGTTTTTTGCCGCCTGACCCCCAAAGAGGGTCGGCTGCATGCATGGTTGTCCATACGGCATGTATGGCTGCTGAGGCGCATACGAAGCTGAATGGATTATCCGAGGGCTAGTGTGGACGGACATGCCGCCTGACTGGCTCTCTGTGTTTAATTGCGAATACCTCATTGAGGTATTCTGAAAGTTGTCTGGGTAGGTCGACGTTGAAGCCGACCCAGACATTTAGGAAATGGAGGAGGCACTCGGTCCTCGACTTCGACCGTAGGTCGTTTCTTATTAGCAGGAGGTACAGACTGTTGTGAAGCCATCACTACTAGAAAACAGGCAATCAACGACGGAAAAACTCCATCGAAAAATCCTGAAATTCCGTCAGAAATGCCCATTTCCGACGGAATTCTGTCGGAAAGCAACGTCGGAATACACTTTGTAGGAATTTCGCGATATTTCGTCGGAAAGGTCTATTCCGACGGAATTTCCGACAGATTATGTTCTGTCGGCGCTTTTGTTGACTTTAAGTGAAAACCGTCACAAGGTTCCGACGGAATATTCCTTCGGAGTGGGATACGTTCCGACGGAATTTTCCGTCGGCGGGGGAGATGTTCCGACGGAATTTTCCGTCGGAGGAGGTATTTTCCGACGGAAAATTCCGTCGAAAAAGTAAATAAAAAAAAAAAAAAAAAAAGCACCACCTTCCCCACCCAGATCCACCCTCGCCACCAGCCCACACCACCCACCACGTCCCCAACCCATTTTCCCACACCTAGACCACCACCGTACCAACCACCCCACCCCACCACCGTACCAACCACCCCACCCCACCACCGTACCATCCACCCCACCCCACCACCGTAACAAATCACACCACCCCACCACCTTAACCCATTAGCCATCCCCTTACCCACCCTACCACCGTAACAAATCACCCCACCCCACCCCACCACCTTAACCCCATTAGCCACCCCCTAACCCACCCTACCACTGTAACCAACCACCCCACCCCACCACACCACCGTAACCCCGTAGCCCACCTCCAAAAAATTAGAAAATTTCTAGAAAATCCGAAAATTTCCGAAAATTTCCAAAAAATCAGAAAAGCCGAAAATTTCCAGAAAAAATCGAAAAACAACCATAAATATCCAGATCCGAAAACAACAACAAACAAATAAAAAAAATAGATTCATACCTTGATTCCACCGCACAAAACCTCAAATTTGGGTTTACAAGGCCAAATTCGACCATGAAAACTCTAGATCTAGGGTTTTCATGGTCGAATTTGACCCAAAAACCTTCGTTTAAACGATGGTAGACGACGGTGCATTGTGGTTGTGCTTTGACGGTGGTTTTCAACGACTATGAAGCGACGAGAAGAGAAACTAACAGAAGCATAGAGGCGAGAGAGAGAAGAGGACAGGAGAGAGAACGAAAAGAGGCAAAGAGATGAAGGAGGAGAACGAATGAAGTAGAGGAGAAAAAAGAAAAAAGAGGCGGAAGAGAGGACAGAAAAAACTGAAATGAAAGGGGTAGGGTTTGCGAGTTTTGTAGTTTTTTTTTTATTAAGTTAAAAATCCATCGAAAAGGCTTCCGACGGATTTTAAATCCGTAGGAAATTACTATGTTCCGACGAATTTTTTTTCCCTCGGAATTTACAGCTTCCGACGGAAATTTCCGTAGGAAGAAATTTTCCGAGGGAATATTCCGTCGGAATCAGTAAATTCCGAGGGAAAAAATATCCGTCGGAATATTTCCGAGGGATTTTCCGTCGCAACTCAGCTTTTCAGACGGACTTTTCTGACAGAACCATATTCCGTAGGAAAATTCGAATTTTCCAACGGAATTGAAGTCCGTCGGAACAATTTCGTCAGAAAATGACCTATTTCTAGTAGTGCATCTTAGTAGTATTCTCCCTACAGACGGTGCCAAATGTTTCGGGGTTTTTTTGATGTCCTGCGGGAGAGTTAAAACACCAAGACTGGACTCCGGAAGCCTGTACCTGCAAAACAATGGAGACTCCGGTGGGTGGTAGCTCTGCCTCCGATGATCAAGTTAAAACGTGTTCGAATGTAAAAAGTGCAGAATGTAAATAGGATCAGGCTCCTCTTAGGAGAGGAGTGATCATCCAGCTGCCTCAAACAACCTCAATATCTGAGTATTTATTTTCGTAATTTGTGTGGATTGAATTCTTCCCCACAGCTGATGTAAATGATCAGCATTTATAGTACTTTGGGACAGGTGCCCTTTTAGGTTTTTTAACCTAAGTAGATGGGCTACCCACAGTTTTACGGTTTCTAGGGTTATGGGCTTGAAGCCCGTTTTTCCCCTTTGAATGGCACGTGTCATGCTCTAATTGGCTCATTGAGCGCCGAGCTTAATGACACTTGTCGCAGTAGCATTGGTCCATATGTCAAGGGTATTTTTACCCTAAACAATTACTATGTGCAATTGCTTATTAACTAGTATTTAATTTAGTATATTACTTGGACCATCCATGAAATTAACAATCATTAGTATGTGATTAATTTCTTACAAATTAATTTGTAGTTTATTATTGTGCAATAATTACTTAGAAGTTACATTCTAGAGAAAAATTAAATAAGATAGTTATACGTTTTAGAGTGATGACACATAAGGTGACACATAGCGATAATGTGACGTCAAATCATGTTGAGGCAACAGTGACACATGGCGTCACCATGTTGTCCCTTTGCGTTTTAATAATAAATATTATAGACGTTTGATAATCACGTTGGTTCTTTTGCGACAAAGCATTAACGTATATCACCTAAGCATAGTGTCAGTGCATAATTGCACAAGATTTGAAATCTAAATGGATTAGCCCCAACACCAACCACGTACTACTAACTACTCCCATCTCATCATCAAGAAAAAAGAGTTATAGGAATATTACTATATTAGCCATTGAAGTCAATTATTGGCTTGGTAATTTTCTTAGCATTATAAATAAGTGTAAAGATTGATAGATCGATGACACAAATTCTATAAGCTCAAATTTATTTTAGCTATGGAGAGAATTACCATCTTTGCCATCATTTTGCTCGTGTCTTTGGCAGGTTCAATTCATCAATGATCTCTTAATTCATACTTCATATATTTTATTGATATTATTATGCATGGATGCTTGATTATTAGTTGTTTACATACACGGGGATGAAGGCCTTAAGGGTAGGTGTAGTAGAATGGTACCCATGCATGACGTGATATTGTTTAAATTATCTATTGTTTATGACATATTTTAATCGATCAAAAGTTGAAAACTTCAATCTAATATGATTGTCATGTACTTTCATATTTCTTATATTTTCTGTCGTAATTAGCTTTTAGCTTGTTGTCGCAAAACCTATAATTTATGTGTACACTCATTGAACCACATATGATGGTGCATGCAGTGCCAACATGGGTGTTGAGTCCCTTAGGTTTTGAATGATGGTTTTGAATGATGACAAACAGCTATGGGAAACAGGTTTTAATAAGTGTTGAAAACAGTTGGTTGGAACCAGCTATAATAGAACACTGTTTTCCTAGATAAGTTATTGATTATATGAGTTATCTATTGAACTAACTTATCTATATACAGGAAACAGTTAGATGATAAATGTGCTATGTACTGGTGGGGAACCAGTATGAACCGTTTCCTTGACTGCTATGCGGAAAAGCAGTCACATACTCTTTATTGTGCATTAACCATGTTACATGTGCAGTAGTTGAGTTGATTCCAAGACTTGGAGCATAGAAGCCTTTCGAAGATATTTCGAAGAAAGATTGTTTGCTCATAATAGAAGTATTCAAGGAAGATTCAAGTCTTGAAGATTACATGAAGAAAAGACGATTTATGCTTTAATATGTTATCTAGGTTTTCATGTAATATGCTCCGTAGTATGCTTGCATGTTTGGGTTATATAAGTGCTTAAAAGTATATTGAAGTATGATATGAAATCTGGTACAAAGTTGGAACAGGTTTCATAACATGTTTCAATTCAGGGAACCAGGTCGGGGAACCAGGTTCACTGTACGAAATATTCGAGCTGCCGTTTTGGAAAAAGATTTTACAAAAAGATTTTTTCGAAAAGATTATTTTGAAAATATTTTGTGCAGCTGGAAATAAGATGAAATATTCTTGGTTACCTAAAAACTAGGAGTATTTATCTTAATTGATTCCATCTTTGTGATTAAATCAAATAAGATAAATACTTTCCTAAAATTACAATATATCTTATTCTCTAAGATTGTGTGATTTAAGGAAACTAGGTTTTAGGAATCTAAGCTTATATAAACTCATCTTATTTCACATATTTCGTGTGCCTCTCCAGAAATTAAAAAGAGCAATTATTTGAGAGCATATACTTAAGCACTAATCCCATTCATCAAGTCATATACAAGAGCATTCTAGTACAAAAACATTTTCTCTTAATTAGCTTCGTAGAAGTGAGATCAAAGGAGAGTTCTTGATTCTTGTATTGAGTCTTTAACAAAGGGGTTAAAGGCTGGGTGAGTGTTTGTGAGTTCAAACACATTGGGCTTACGAGTGTAAGTCGAGAGCACACTCGGAGTAGAGTGTGGGGTTTGCTGGTTCCCGGAGTAGGGAAACAGCAGAGTGTTCTTTGTCTTTGTTTTTCGGAGTAGATTAATAAAGAACTTAGGATAGGAGGACGTAGGCCTGAGTTGGCTGAACCTCGTTAAATTTGTTGTGTTCTTTATTGCTTTGTTTTATTCCGCTGCATAAGGGAACCAGCACAACTGGTTCCTTACACATAATCCGAAAAGAAGCAAAAATCGCTAACGATTACTTAACACTCAATTCACCCCCCCTCTTGAGTGCCCATTGAACCTTCAATTGGTATCAGAGCCTAAGCTTCTCGAAAGAATAACATCTAGAGGAGTTAAGAATGAGTACTCAAGAATTAAGTGCAATCGGTTATGACAACAAGTCACCCAAGTTTAATGGAAATAATTATGCTTGGTGGAAGAACAGGATCCAGAATGTTATCATGGGTATTGATTATGAATGCTGGCTCGTAGTTAAAAATGGTCCAAATATCATTCTCAAGACAGATGTTGAGGGGAACCAGGTTCCCAAGCAAGATAGCGAATTGGTCACTGCTGATTACAAGTTGCTGGAGAAGAATGCTAAGGCAATGTCAATACTACAACAAGCAATAGGTGAGACCGAAACAAATCGTATATCTGGCTGCAGTAGTGCTAAGGAGATATGGGACACCCTTGAACTTGCGTTTGAGGGAACCAGTGAGGTAAAACGGTCTAAAATTGATTTAATCATGTCTAAATATGAATTGTTTGCCATGAATAAAAATGAAAAAATCAATGATTGCTTTCGTAGGTTTATGACTATTGTAAATGATCTTAGATCTCTTGGTAAAAATTTATCTGACGAGGATCTTGTGAGAAAATTATTGCGTAGTTTAACAGATGCATGGACAGCCAAGGTAACAGCAGTATATGAAGCAAAGGATCTGTCTACCTTGTCTCTGGAACAGCTGATTGGTTCCCTTATGACTCATGAGATGCTGATTGACTCTAAGTCTGAGAAGGAACCAGCAAGAGGCATGGCGCTTAAGGGAACAGTAGAAGATGATGAAGATGAAATTAGCATGATTGCAAAAAGATTTGAGAGATCTCTTCGAGATCAAAGAAAGAACTTCAAAGGTAAGCATTTTAAAAACTATAAAAAATCTAACTCTAATTCTTCTTCTACAGGATGTTTCAAGTGTGGAGAAAAAGGACATCTTATTCGAGATTGTCCTAAGTGGAATGACAAACAGTCTAAATCCGGAGATAAACAAGCATACAAGAATGCCATGATAGCTTCCATGTGGGGAGACTCTGACTCAGGGTCAGATGAAGAAGAAGGATCACCCAACTCAGATGTTTGCCTAACTGCCTTTACAAACATCAAGGAAAACAGCACTGGTCCAGGAACCAGAGGGGGAACCAGTACATTCAACAAATGCTTTATGGCAAAGAAGGATGTACTACATGAACGCAAGGTAAGCTTAGAGCAAATTAGAGAAGATATGCATGAATATGATAGAGAAAATATGCTTGCTTGTATTGATTCCTTACTAGATGAATGCTATAAACTAAGTGAAACATACATAACTTGCAAAAGAGAATTAAAAGAAAAACGTGGTGAATGTAATATTGCTATTGCTAGTTGTGATCATCTAGAAGGAGTCTGTTATGAACTAAAAAATCAAGTAGCAGAACTAGAGGTTGAATTGGACAAGTGTAAAGTGGAACTAGAAAAGGAAAGATCGTTTGAACCAATTGATGGTGAAGAGGATCTGACCTCCTGGTTCCCTAGAGACTTATCAACCACTAGTGATACTCTTGATTTTTCAGTAGCTATAAGTAAAGCAAATTCGTGTACTAGAACTTCCTTGTTGAAGGCCTTTGAAACATTGGCTTACAACCTGGAAAACTCTCACAAGGAAATTGCTTCACTTAAAGCTGCACAGTTCACTGTTTCCCCTACAACTACCAGTGTAGATGTCAGTAATACGATTGATAAGTATGAAAGTAATATTTGTGATTTGCATGCGGAAATCAATCAACTGAAAAAGGACAAGCAACCAGTGGTTGTTGACATGTCTATTGACTCTATGGTTTCAAAGCTTAATCTACAATTCAAAGCTTTAAAAAGTAACTTTGATTTTCTTAAAGAGAAAAACGAATTGTTAACTAAAACACTTGAAACCAGAGAAAAAGAACTTAATGATAGTCATAGACATGTGGACAAATTATTGAATGCTCAAGAATCCTTAAATTACCTGACTTCATCAAGAGGAAACAGAGGAAAAGTTGGTCTTGGTTATACTAGACAGAGAACCAGGACTAACTGGTCTCCCAGAGAAACCACCTGGATCAAAGAATATCAATGAGGCAAGTATGTCATGACTAAAGAGATGCATGTGTGTTTTCATTGTGGTAAAAATGGACATAAGATACATGAATGTCCAGCTAAGAAAATTAGTGCTAATAAGAACAGCAAGGGTGTAAAATATGTGTGGAGAAGAAAGGATCAACAAGATGTTAATGTTGTTGAAAAGGGACCCAAGTATGTTTGGGTTCCTAAATCTAATGTTTGATTTGCTCTTGCAGGCTAGAGTGAAGGGAGACACCTATTGGTATTTGGACAGTGGTTGCTCAAGACACATGTCCGGGGATAAAGATCAATTCCTTTCACTAGTGGCCTTTGATGGAGGAAGTGTCACCTTTGGGGATAACAGCAAGGGAACCATCACTGGTTTAGGTAAGGTTGGTAAGACACTTTCTAACGCAATAGATGATGTTTATTATGTTGAAGGCTTGCAACATAATCTCTTGAGTATTTCTCAATTATGTGACAAAGGTAATATAGTTGAGTTTCAAGCCAACCTATGTCACATAGTTAACTCACAAACAGGAGAACTTGTATGTGAGGGAACCAGGAAGCATGATGTTTACATCACCTTCTTAGATAAAATCCCTCAAGACAAGTCCATCTGTTTGAGAGCTGTTTCTGACAATAATCAATGGATTTGGCATAAGAGGTTTGGACATGCTAGCCTAACACTTCTAAACAAACTTAAAACACGTGACTTAGTTGTAGGCCTTCCTAACATTAAGTATGAAGCTGATAAAGTTTGTTCTGAATGTGTAAGGGGGAAACAGGTCAAAATTTCTTTTAAGTCTAAAACTGTTTTGAGTACCAGCAGACCCTTCGAACTTGTACACATTGATTTGTGTGGTCCCATGAGAGTACAAAGTCGAAGAGGTCATAGATATGTCTGTGTTATGGTTGATGATTATTCTAGGTACACTTGGGTGATGATGCTACACACAAAAGACGAGACGTTTGAAGAATGGGTAACATTGGTGAAACAAGTGGAGAACCAGCTCACCCACAAGCTGGTCTCGGTAAGATCAGACCATGGTACTGAATTTGATAATGCTAACTTTATTGATTATTGTAGGGAACATGGAGTTAATCACAACTTCTCAGCCCCTAGAACACCTCAACAAAATGGTGTTGTAGAAAGGAAGAATAGAACTCTTGAGGAGATGGCGAGGACGATGCTCATTGAGAGTGGTCTCCCAAAGAGTTTTTGGGGAGAAGCTGTTGACACTGCTTGCTATATATTGAATAGAGGTCTCATTAGACCAAAGTTAAATAAGACTCCCTATGAACTTCTTAAAGGTCGAAAGCCCAACATCACATACTTTCGTGTCTTTGGATGTAAATGTTATGTGCATAATAATGGGAAGAATCAACTTGATAAGTTTGATCCTAGAAGTGATGAGGGAATCTTTCTTGGATACTCTTCTCACAGCAAAGCATATAGAGTCTTCAATAAAAGGACTCTTTGTGTTGAGGAGAGTGTCCATGTCATTTTTGATGAA